AGCAGGCCTGGCCGCAGCGACCTCCAGGCGCTCAGCGTGGCCAGCCCGGGTGCCGGCGCCGCTCTGGGCCCTCTCCAGCGCCTTTCCCTCCCCAGAGCCACTACGTGGCCTGCATGACGGCCATGCTCAGCCAGATGGATGCAGAGCACTACAGCTCCTACATCGCAGCCTTCCCCTCCCGGCCCGAGCTCATGGTGAGTGTCCTGGCAGTGCTCGGTGCCGCACTCCCCATGGGATGCACACACCTCTGCGTGCTGCCCCCGCTGCGCTGCATCCCGCTGCGCTGCATCCTGCTGCACTGCATCCCTCTCGGCCTCGACGAGGCTCTCACTGCGGGCAGCCAGGGCTGCTCCTGGTCCTGTGCACAGCACCGCCTGGCACAGAGCCCGGCACGGAGCCCGGCGCTGACGCCTCCTCCCTCCCTGCAGGACTTCCTCATGGAGACCTTCATCCTCTTCAAGGACCTCCTCGGCACGTCCGTGTACCCCTCGGACTGGGTGGTGATGAACATGGTGCAGAACCGGTGAGGAGTGGGGCGGGCCGGGCTGGGCCAGGCTGCCGCGGGGCTCCTGCTCCGGCCCCACGGCTGCTCGCTCCGCAGGGAGTTCCTGCGCGCCATCAACCACTTTGCAGCCACCCTCAGGGAGACCTTCCTGCAGCAGAGCAGCTTTGAGCTGCAGGTGAGACCCGCACTGGACAGCGGTGCCCCACGGCGCCCGGTCCTGCTGCCCGTGCCCCATGGCAAGGAGGGTCAGGGCTGCCCCCTCCCCGTGCCACCCTGCATCCCCATCTTCCCCCATCCCTGGCTCCCGCATCCCCCCGCTCCCACGTGCCCAGCTCCCACCTCCCAACCATGCTTTCCTTGCAGCTTTGGAACAACTACTTCCACCTGGCTGTGGCTTTCCTGACCCAGGACTCCCTGCAGCTGGAGAACTTCTCCCAGGCCAAGCGCACCAGCATCCTGGCCAAGTGAGGCACCCTGGCACCCCCGCAGCCCCTGGTGCTGCCATGTCCTGGGGCCGGGGGTCCTGGGAGGCTTCCAGCAGTGCCCGGGGTGGGAGGAGCGATGCTAACCAAGCCATCCCGGCAGGTACGGGGACATGCGAGCCACGATCGGTGCTGCCATCCGGGACATGTGGTACAACCTCGGTGAGTCGGCGCGTGGCCTGCGGCTCTCTGTGCCGAGGCTCTGCCGGGCCCGTGTGCCTGCTGCCATCCCGGCACTTGGGGGTGGGCGAGCGTGGGAGCCAAGGGTGTGCAAACCTGCGGGTGTGCGAGCGTGTGAGCCCAGGGTGTGCAAACTTGTGGGTGTGTGAGCGTGCGAGCCCAGGGCGTGCAGGCGTGCGGGTGTGCAAGGCTGTGGCGCGTTCCAGTGTGAGAAATGTAGGGGCTGCAGGCATGGGCGCCCGCAGACGTGCAAGCTGCTGGGCAGCAGCCGCAGGGTGCAGCTCTGCAGACGCACAGGCCTCGGGACGTGTGAGCTGCGGCTCTGCGAAGCGGCACCGCTGCCTCCAGCCTCCCTCCCTTCCCCGCGGCTGCGCGCTCTGCCCCGGTGCTCTGCCCTCGCTCCTGCCGCCCCAGGTCACCGCAAGATCGAGTTCATCCCCGCCATGGTGGGCCCCATCCTGGAGATGACGCTGGTGCCGGAGCTGGAGCTGCGCAGATCCACCATCCCCATCTTCTTCGACATGATGCTCTGCGAGTACCAGCTGACCGAGAGCTTCAGCCGCGTGAGTGCCGCCGTGTCCCGCTGGACCGGCCCTTTGGCAGGGACGGGGGCGCCTCAGCCCCGTCCCCCTCCCAGGCAGCGGGATGTGGGGCTGCCGCAGGGAGGGACGAGGACATGGGGACACGGGACAAGGCCACGGGGACACGGGACAAGGCCACACACGGGGGATGGAGGATGGGGATGAGGCCAGCGGGTGGGAGCTAGTGGGCACAAGGCCTTGGGGTGACACAGAGGACCCCCGGGCAGAGGGGATGGACATGGGGACACGGGACAAGGCCACGGGGACACGGGACAAGGCCACACACGGGGGATGGAGGATGGGGATGAGGCCAGCGGGTGGGAGCTAGTGGGCACAAGGCCTTGGGGTGACACAGAGGACCCCCGGGCAGAGGGGATGGAGACCCTGGGTCACGCAGCGGGATGATCCGCAGGGGGAGGGCTGGGTAACCCCCCCGGCTCCCTCCGCAGTTTGAGGACGAGATCCTGCGCAAGCTGGACAGCGAGGTGGAGGGCGGCCGGGGCGACGAGCAGTACAAGCAGCTCTTCGAGAGCATGTGAGCGCCAGCCGGCCGCGCTC